TGGAAAAGGAAGTGGCAAACCCCTCCATTATCTTTGCCAAGAAAACCCCAAATGGGGTCAGACATGATTGAAACAACAACAACACAAGGGAGATTGGGCCCAGAATATAGAGGGCCATGAAAGACAGACAGAGGATTTTGAACTGTGGACGTTTGGGAGCTCTTGAAGGTTCCTGAATGTGGGAGTGATGGTAATAGTTTTGTTTTAAGAATATACATTCATTAGTTCATTAGGTTACTGGAAGTAATTTATAGAGCAATTGCTGATCTAAATTGGTAAGGATGAGGAGGGGTCCTCACTGGAAGGAGTACCTTAAGTCAATGAAATCATAGTTCTGGACCAAAACAACAACAACAACAAAAACCGATCATGGTAGCCATGTATGCAGGCCTTGTATAATAGGGGAGAGACTGAAGGAATGGAGCTCAGTTTCTACTGCTAAAATGGAAAGAAAGAGTGAGGTACATACAGGGAATTTTCTTCTCTCAAGGTGATTTTTCCTGTGTCCAGTTTTATCTTTGTCTGAGTAGTCCCAACTTCATTTGGACTTCATAGGGCTTGTTTTCAGATCAGCGACAGTGTTCAAGGCCATTAACTGCTTTCAGAGGAGATGACATCACTGAAAACTGGACAGGAGGCCCACAGTCTCCCGCTGAAGCTAATGGTGCCTACAGAGCCCCACCTAAGATTACAAAAGCAATGGTGTCTTAGGCCTAAAGAGGAGACAAAATTTCTACAGATGACAGGTGAGAAGGAGAGATCTATTTAAAATGAGAGGGAATTTATCCCCAAGTCAGTATGTCTCATTTGAATGGGACAGAGATGCCTGGAACAGAACTATGAAAGTCCATGGTAAAATTAGAAATGATTCCTAGAAGTTGTCTAAAGGTTAGTGATGAAAAAATTTTATCTCTAATGGATAATTGGTCAAAGGATACAAACAGTTCTCAAAAGAATTGCAAACTGATAACAACCAACCACATGAAAGATTGCTCCAAATCATTAATAATAAGAGAATTGTAAATCAGAATAACTCTGAGGCTTCATTTCATCCCCAGCAATATGGCAAAGATGGGGACAATCAGTATTGGAGGGGTTGTGGAAAGGTATCTATACTAACCCTGTTGATGGACCTGTGAATTAGTCCAACCATTCTTCATAGTAATTTGGAATTGTGCTCAGAGGATGATAAAACGGTCATCTTCTTTGACCCAGAGAAGCCATTGAAGGGATCAAGGTCAGAGATAGAAGTAAAGGTTCAATACACAACAAAATATTTATAGCAGCACTTTTTGGAGTAGAAAAGAACTGGAAATAAAGTAGATGCATGTCAGCTGGGGAATCCTTAAATTGTGGTATGTGAATATAATGAAATACTGTTATATGTGAGAAATGATTATGAAGAATCCAGAGAAGCAAGACTTTCATGACCTGTTATTTAATAAAAAAAAAAAAAAAACATAACTAAGGGGGAAGAATTACTTCTTCCTCCTTCTAGTGAATGAATAGGTCTTTTAGAGGAGGTAAAAATTTAGTACAGCAGATTCTAGTTTCTGGAAATTTGGGTTAGTAACTAAGTATGCCAATAAACCATTGATTTGGTTTAAATGAAAAATGTTGTGGTAGAAGGCCCAGTATAAGGACTTGGTCTTGATGAACTTTTCTAGATGGAGAATTGTTTTGTGTTTTCATGTTAAGGAAGTTATCAAAGTCTAAAGCCCATTTATATACCAATTTAAAACTTGCAAAGCACTTATATATTATTTCATTTGAGCCTCACTATATCTTTGTGAGGTAAGTATAATAGGTTTTGTCATTGTTTTCATAGATGAAAAAACTGAGCTAAGGGAGGTTAAATGGCCTGCCCTCATGCTGTGATTCTGTTGCTGTTCTTTTCACAGGCAATTTCCTAGAATCATCTAAACCAGGAGTGGGGAACCATTGGCCTCAAGACGACACGTGGCCCTCTAGGTCTTCAAGTATGGTCCTTTGACTGAATCCAAATTTCACAGAACAAATCCTCTTAACAAAAGAATTTGTTCTGTAAAACTTGGACTCAGTCAAAAGGCTGCACCCAAGGACCTAGAAGGCCCCTCGTGGCCTCGAAGCTGCAGGTTCCCCACCCCTGAAACCATGGGTTCTCAAAGTAGGCAATACTGCCCCATGGGGAGGGGGGCTGGAATAGTTGGGGTGGGTGTAGTAGCCTCAGGTGCAATTGGAGGGTGTTGAATAAAAATAAGAGGGCAGTGAAGTATAAGGAAAGAAGAGAAGAAAATTTTGAAGAACTGTGTACATATTTCATCTGTTGTGTAACAGAGTTAAAGTCATAGTGATTACATTATTTTCCAAATAAACACACAAAGTGTAAGTTTTAACCAATCAGTGGTCAAGTCTGCCAACAGGTCTTAACAAGCAAGTGTTGGCAAGCCATCATATTATGCATTGTTGGAAGTCCAGTATGCATTGGCAGGAATATGTGCTTGTAACAACTTATTTAAGATACATGATTACATGCTGGTAGTATTGCATGATCAAAATTTGAATGCAGGAAAAAACCCACAAATTCATAATAAATTATTAAATTTAAGGTGTCATTTTAAAAAATTATAATTTTTTGAAATGATGCAAATTTTTAAAAAGCATTAAATGGTTATTAAATAAAGTAGATTTCCAAGGGGGTGCTGAATAATTTTTTTTTTTTTTTTTGAAAAGGGAGCAGTAGGCCAAATAAGCTTGGGAACCTCTGATCTAAACTCTTTGTCTCTACTTCATCTCCCATTCATTTCTCAAAGCCTGCTAATCCTGACTTTCTATACCACTACTGGTTTGAAACTGAACTCTCCAGTTACCAGCAATCTAATTGCTAAATTTGATAGCTTTTTTCCTGTACTTATCCTGTGTCTTCTTTGCACTTTTTGATATTGTTGACAACCCCTTTCTCTTGGGTACTCTTTCTTCCTTAGTTTCCATGACATTAATTTTTCCTGGTTTTTCTCCTACCTTCCTGACCCCTTCAGTAACCCCTGCTGGATCATCATATATGTCCTGCCCATAGCTATGTCCTGGGCCTTCTCTTTTCTCATTTTACCTTGATGATCTCCATTAGTTCAGTTAGCATTTCTATGTAGATAACTTTCAGCTCAAGTGTATATCCACATCTAAGATCGCTCTTGAATTCCAATCCAACTTGTCTTCTGGGTGTCTCAGTCTTAATGTCCTGTTATCTCAAATTTATCATGTTCAAAATGTAACTGATTTTCTTCTGCTTTTACCCAAACCTGGCCCTGCCCCAAACCCCCTTATTTCTGTAGAGCATACTACCATGCTTCTGGTCCTCCAGATACACAACTTCAGAATCTTTCTTCTCTCCATCCCCCATATCTAATCAGTTGCCAACTACCCCAGTTCAGATCTTCATCACCACTTGCGTGGTCCACTAATATTAGCTTTCTGATTTGTTTTTCTGCTGCTTTAGTCTCTCTCCCCAATCCTTATTCCAGTATAGCTGACCAAATGATTTCCTAGAACACAGTTCAGATAATGCCATTCCTCTGTTCAAAATTTTTAAGTTCCTTATTCCCTCTAGGATAAAATAGAGATGCCTTAACCTAACTTTTAAAGCTTTTCACATATAGGTTCCAGCCTCCCTTTCTGCATATTGCTTACTGCAATTTACTTACTGCATATTGCTCCCCTCAGGCATGCTATGTTCCAGCTAAGGCTGCCCTAGTAGCAGTCTTCCAAACTTAGCATTCAATCTGTACTCCGTATCTTTGCCTGGGCTACCCTTTATGCCTAGAAGGTGCTCCTTTCTCACCTTTGCTTAGGTTCCTTCACGGTTCAGTTCATGACATGAACTCCTACAAAAACCTTTCTGGGTCCTCTTAGTAGCTGTTATCGCTCAAGTATGTTGCGTTTGCCCATATGTACATCCTATGCCTATCTAGTAAAACATAAGGTACCACAGTGTATACTATGGTGCCTTGCAAATAGTTGGCATTTATTATTGAATTGGTGAATGTTGTGTTACACCCTCTGGCCTCCAATAGAACATAAATTATTGGCAGCGTTGTAACCAGTGTTTGTCCTAGGCAAGTGCTTAATGTTCACTGCATCGAATTAGAACTGCCTTCCAGACACTAGCAAAGTTCCTCCACCTTTTTAGGGCCTTATCATTTGCTTTTTATTTGGAGGCTCCTTGAAGCTCTAGTGGATAGTACCATACTTAGGATCAATCTTTTCTGAGCCAGAATTCTTTTTCCTAGCAGACTTTGCTTTCCCTTTAAGTATCCACCTCACTGTGTCATAATCAATGAGAACACCAAGGGGTGACAGTTAATAAAAAAGATTACATTGCAACTAGAGCAACTGCTTTAATGTTGGTGAGTGGCATATAAACACCACATGGGTGGAAGGACTAGCCCCACACCAGTAAGTGGCTTCATTTGGAGCACTTGGCTTAGACCTTTGTCTTTATCCCCTGGCTTGTTTCAGAGGAACCTAAATCACTTTAAAGAAATTCATTTTCATCTTCATGCCTACTTGTTCATCTGAACAGAGGCTGACACCTGAAAACACAAAGCTAATAAACAGAAATGTTCTGATTCACCTGGGGAGGTGAGGAAGGGGGGAGTCAAGGTAGTAATATAGAATTAAGGAGACACAAATCTCAAACATGACTTTAAGGAGATATTGTGGGACAGAAAGACTCCCAGGAAGTCATAGCATCATATGACAGGTTATCTGTCTAACATTTCTGCTACTTACCTGCTTGGCCTTTTCTGATCTTGAAATGAGATTGAGTGTTAGAGGCAGGGAGGAAGGGGCATGGACCTAAGAATTCAGGCCAGGCTGAAACTGCCATGGAGAAACCACGGTTCAGAAAAAAACTGTTTTATACAGTCCTGGATATAACCCTGTAAATTGGAATTAGTTCTTTCTATAAGTAAGTAGCTATGTAGCCATATGCTAGTTATAACCTAAAATGAAGAGATTGAGGTAGACGATTTTTAAAGTCCTTTCAAATTCTTCAGTTCTGATTATGTGATTTCTATGCAAGGCTGTGACTAACCCATCTCAGTCAGGAATGTACTCTGAATTGAGAATTCCCAAGAATTTTTTATTTGTATCCTCAGAACTTAGCACAGTACCTGGCACAAATTAGGCACTTTACAAATGCTTGTTGATTGACTGATCTGCAGGTAGGTTCCTCAAAAATTTATAAAACCATAAAAACTACCCAACCTACTGAACTTATTATCAGGAAGCTTTTATTATGTGTACATTTATGTGTCATGTTAAAAAAAAATCAGACAGTTCTGTCCATTGAGAGCTTATAAATATAAGACAGTTGATACTGACATGTTGTTTTTCTGATCTTATTACCATTTTTAATACCAGTTGCCAAACTATCCCCTTTGTACCCAGACATTTCAAGTGCTCTCTATATCAGGAAGCTAAGAGATGACAAGATCCTGTCTGTAATAAATAAGTTTCCAGTTTCCCATGGAATATTAACTGAAAGGTAACAGACTTAGAGCTGATTGTTTTTCTTTTGGGCCTTAGGCAAGTGCTATTTTGCAAGGCTGTCCTATCCTCTTGTTCACTTTTCCAGGTAAAAAAAATTCTGTACCTGACCTTGTGAACTCCTTCCAAAACCTCCTGAATGTGTACTCCTCACATCTAATTGGCAGTTCTCCTCCTGAGGTAAATTCCAATGCAATTTTGTTTCATTAGAGACAGAGAATAGCTTGCTATCCATCATCTTCCATAAACTATCAATTAAGAAACATAAGAGCTGATAGTTTTTTTACTTCACAGTTTTTTCTGCAAACTAAATAAGCAAAAAATGAATCAACAGGATTTGACTGCTAAAGGTTAAGACGTTAAGCAAGAAGTTAGAGTAGTCAATCTTGTGAATGGTGTTTATATAAGCAAGAGGCCCAAGAGAAAATCTTAACCAAAATGCTTGGGAAAACCATAATTTAGGATATCTCTGCTGCACAGAATTTGGAATAAGAATTTTAGAATAGGAAATTGATGTACTTGCAACAGTAAAGATAATGATTTTGCGTGTGTGTGTGTGTGTGTGTGTGTGTGTGTGTGTGTGTGTGTGTGTGTCTGCCCTTTGTCTTAGGGAATGCCATTTCTGATAGTAATTTTAACTTGTGTTTTTGAGAGTGGCAGAAAAGACTAATACATGATCAGCATTCCTTTCCACACTGTATATGTATGATGATTATTCTTTGGTTCAAGACAACATCTGCTATTTGAAGAGTTGGTTTTTTGGCATAGTATACTTGTTATTTTGTCAGATATAATCAGTATAGCTGTCCTATAAAGAATTTTCTTGTCATAAACAAATCATTATGTACTGGAAATATTGCCATTCCCTCTTGCATAGTCTCTTTAAATTCTCTTTAGAGAAAAATGGGGTTTACACCTTAACATTTTTCAAATATTGATAAATTCATATAAATCTATGTTCTTTTCAGGGTTTAGCTCCACTTGGAGCTTTCCTTCAGAACGAGGACATTGACTGTTTCCTTTTCTTTGTGGAGTTTCTGGTGTCTTAGAAGGCTTGAACGCCTACTGAAGTTCCTCCCACACATGCTACATGTATAGGGTTGCTCACCCGTATGGGTTCTTTGGTGCTTAATGAGATGAGAGTTCTGACTGAATCTTTTTCCGCATTCATGACACTTAAAGGGTTTCTCTCCTGTGTGCGTTCTTTGGTGAGTGAGAAGGTTTGTGTTTTGACTGAAGCTTTTCCCACACCAGGAGCATCTATGTGGCTTGATTCCTCGATGTGTCATCAAGTGTTTATTAAGATCTGAGCTCCATCGGAACCTTTTATCACATTCTTGACATTTATAGGGTCTTTCTTCAGTGTGGACTCTCTGGTGCTTAATAAGGTCAGAGCTCACTTTGAAGCTTTTCCCACATATTTGACATTTGAAAGGTTTTTCTCCCGTGCAGGCTTTCTTGTGGACCTCCATGAGTTTTCGTAGACTTTTTTTCCAGGAAGCAAATTTCTTCCATCTTCCTACAGGTAAATTTTGCTGTGGCTTTCCTTCTCCACGCTGCTTTTCATGAACTTCTTTCAATTCTGCTCTCTGGAGAACTTTCTCATCAGTCTTTTTAGATACAGATAAAGTACTGTCTGGTGCTTGTACTTCTAAGGGAATATGATGTACTGCCTTAGGCTTTTCATTCTCACTTGTAGCCTTAACCTCATTAGGATAAATAGAAGAATCAGTCATTTCTATTTTGGAGAAAAAGGAAATCGAAGAAAGGGGAAAAAAAATTAATGATGGTTGATAAAAATAAATAAAAGAACAGAATTTCTAAAATTGCTAACATCCTGAAAGCACTGAATACCAGAATATTTATTTCTGGGTTAGTCTGATCCATTCTCCTTCATTGCTCACCTGTATTAGAGTCTTCTGGGATCTCTTTAGATTCCTTAGAATTTGTGACACATGGCTCTTCTTCTTGCTCCAAACAGGATATCAGTTCAGGTTTGGGAATCAGAAACAGTGCTGAGGAGAAGAAATAAGTAGCAGTCATCTTGACAGTGACTTGTTACTAACTAAACAACACATTTCAGGTGTGACCCAATGATTCCTTAGAAGGTGTTGTACGTTTCTAAGGAAATGTGATGCACTAGCTGAGTTTCTTCAGCCTCACCACTGACTTTAATTTTGAATGTGCAGGATCTTAGCTCCAGTATCTCTTATGGTTGTATGTTGAGAGAAAGGGACTGAGAAACAAATTATGTAGATAATAATAACTCACATTTCTAGAGGACTTAACAATTCACAAACCACTTTCCTCACAACAGTCTTGTGAAGTAGTTAGTTTTTATCTCCATCTTACCAATGGAAAAAAAAAACATGTATATTTTCAGAAATGACATAGCTAGTGAGTGTCAGGGACAGAATTTGAACCCAGGTCTCCTGACTAAGGTTAGTATTGCCTTTGAAGGATAGGCATATACCATACTTTTCCCCTGAAAGCTCTATTTGACTCGGTTTATTTGTTGAGAGGAAGAGGAGCAGCAACTAAACCCTAGAGAGTATCAGACATCTCTCTCTCAAATCAACTGAATTTTAATAATGTTTCAGCCTCTTAACTATGAAGATCGATTTGATCCTGTAATAAATAGGGACATTCAGGGAAAAGTTTCAAGGTCAGTGATCTCTGTACTCAAGCTGACTTAGGTAAGAAGTATAGAAAAAGTATAGAAAGATATCCAGAGATGTCAATGTGGAAATAAAGTAAAAGCACAGAATTATTATCCGATTTGTTCCATTCCCAAAATTGGTTCCATAAAATGGTGACCTGAAACTTAAAGGTTTTGGGGACCAGATATTGCCCAGGGCTGGCCCCCACCACTTGGGCTACTGATGACATGAAAAGACTTAGATGAATATTCATCAGCCTTGAGAATCCAGTAAGCCAGAAGTCAATCAGCTTTTTTTATTTTTCTCTTTGTCATCAAGATCACTAGAGTAAGGGAATGATGTAGAGATAAGGACTTTTATTTTTTGAGGATGTGCTCCCTTGGAAAATATGTGATCCAGAAGAGACGACATGAACTTCTAAATAGAAGACAGGTTAAATGTCCCAAATCCTCTGTTTCAAGTTTTAAAGAGGGAGGTAATTAGAATTTGAAGAAGAAACTATAAAAAGAACTCTATGGCAGGCAAGTCTTTCCAGCTGGGGCGTGTGTGCATTTTTTTCCTTTAAATTTAATTTTGTTTTCAATTAAAAATTATTTCTCTTCCTCTTACATCCTTTCTGTCAATAGAAAAACAAAACAAAAATTCTTGTTAAAAATATGCACAGTCAAGTGAAACATATTATTGCATTGGCCATGTTCAAAAGATATGCTTCAATCCTTTGGATGTATTCTAAGAAAGGTGAGCATAGAGGCATAGCCAAGATGGCAGAGTGACGGGAAGCAGTGCAGTCAGCTTCCCTACACAAAATCCAAAACACAGATCTAGAAAAAGCACACCACCAGTGGGGAAATCCAGAAAATGATACAGTGAGTCGTCTGTCTGGCCTAGGTCAGCATAGGAAGACAGAAAGGGAGGTCTGTGAACATTGGGAATGAGGTCAGACTAGGAGCATATTGGTGGTGAGCACTGCACTATTAAGAGAGGCTGTCAAGGACAAGAGATCTCAGACCCATACCAGGACACTGTGACAGGGACAGTGCATACTGGTGACTTTGTTACCCACTACACAGTTCCAGGTCAGAGATCTAGGATGGACTAAGAAAGGGACCTGCCCAGGGGATCTGACATTCTCAGATAAAGAGACCCTGGGGCTGTGTATAGAGAAAGTTCAGAATCCAGTAGCAGCAGCCACATGGCTCAAAGCAAGGTCTCACTTTCAGCATCTAGCCCAGCCTGTAGAGGAATAAATTCAGCAGGAATCCCAAACCAAAGGAGAGTCTATGGTTCTACCTGTTTGAACCAAAAAAGTTTTCCAGTTGACTGATGGGGAAGAGTCTAGTAGTAGTCTACTTCTATATAGACCCAAACTTAGTTTGGCAACTTGCAGAGCTCAGACCAGGAGGGACAGCAATCAGACTTTGCTCTAGATCAAACCACTTTGGGAGCAGTGAAAGCTTACAAGTCCCCAGCCTGTTCCTGAGATTCTAGAATAACGTAACACTAAATACCTTAAGAAGTGAGCAATAAGACCAGCCCTCCAGAACCGTCGCAAAGCTCTGCCCTAATATCTAGTATGAAGTCTGGAGTCTAGAAGTAAGCTGAAAGAATTGGAGGGGAGTATGGAGGAAGAACTACGCCATAATGAACTATTAGGATGGCAGAGTCTCTCAAGACACAAACACAAAAGAAAGAGAATTACTCTAAAATATCTACAAGCTATGCCTCAGAGAAAAACACAGTCTAAGCATAAACTCAACTGTAATTCCTAGAGGATATGAAGAATTTAAAATGTTTTTTTATAAGTGGAATGTGAATGCTTGAGGAAAAAAATTGGAAAAGAAATGAGAGCTGTAGAAGAATGAATAGGAAACAAGTACACACCTTAGCCTAAGAGGTACAAATCCTTGCCCAAGCAAAAATCTCCCTGAAAATTAGAAATGAACCATACAGAAACCAATGATTCCATGAAACAACAAGAAATATTCAAATAAAATTAAAAGATAGAAAAATTAGAAGAAAGTATAAAGTGTCTCATAGCAAAACAACTCACCTGGAAAACAAATCAAGGAGAAAAAATTTAATCATCATTGTACTATCTGAACACCGTGACCAAAACCAAAGAAAAAAGCCTGACACTCTATTTCAAGAAAACTGCCCAAATGTCTTAGAACCAAAGAATAATGTGGAAATCAAAAAAATCCACTAATCAGTCACCTCCTGAGAGACACCCCACAAGTGAAAACTCCCAGGAACATTATAGCCCAAAATCTAAAACTTCCAGGTCAACAAAAAAATACTGTTAGCAACCAGAAAGAAAGAATTCAAATACCAAGGAGCTACAGTCAAGATCACACATGATTTAGCAGCTGGAGAACTTGGAATATAATATTCCTGAAGGCAAAGGATCTAAGCTTAAAACCAAGAATAACTTGCCCAACAAAACTGAGTATAAGGCAGGGGAGAGAGAGACTTTTATTGAAATAGAAGATTTTCAAGCATTCCTGTTGAAAAAACCAGAGCTGCAGAAAATCTCTGAAGGTCAAACATAGGAGTGAAGAGAAATATAAAAAGGTAAACATTAATGAACAATGAAAAAGAACTAAATAAAGATAAACTTTGTACATTCAGGGGCAGCTAGATTATGCAGTAGATAAACCTCTAGCCTTGGAGTCAGGAGGACCTGAGTTCAAATCCATTTTTTTTTGTTGTTGTTGTTTGTTTTTTTTTTAAGGCAATTGGGCTTAAGTGACTTCCCAAGGTCACACAGCTAGTAAATGTCAAGTGTTTGGTCTGAATCCGGATTTGAACTCAGGTCCTCCTGACTTCAGGGCCGGTGCTCTATCCACTGCGCCACCTAGCTGCTCCCAAATCCGGCCTCACACATTTGACACTTAACTAGCTATGTGACCCTGGGCAAGTCACTTAACCCCAAGTGCCTCACCAAAAACAAACAAAACAAAAAAACTTTGTACATTCAAACATGGGAAGATGATACATATGTCCCCTCTAATCTCTATCATCATCAATGTTCATAGAGGGTACAATCAGACAAGGCCTGGAAATGGTTCTGTTATATCTTGATGATCTTTAAAGAAGATGTAAAGACGGAACACACTGGGAGCTGTGGACAAGGAAAGGAAGGTTGACGGAAATTATCTGACATAATCAGGGTGCACAAGTAGACATCTATACAAATAAGAAGGAGGGGGTGGGGTGAGCAGATGACACCTGAACCTCACTCTCATCTGAACTGGTTAAAGGAAGGAAGAATACATACACAGAGTTGGGTACAGAAATACATTTCACTCAACAGGGAAACAGGAAGGAAAGAGGAGAAGGGATGAGGAAAAATTAGAGTGAGGGCAAATTAAGGGAGGGATTAGTTCCAAACAAAACAAATTCTAAGGATGTACAAAAATATTTATAACTCTTTTTGAGGTAGCAAAGAATAGGAATCTGCGAGGGTACACATAAACTGGGGAATGGATGAACAAGTTATGGTATATAAATGTGATGGAAACTATTGTGCCAAACTCTTATCAGTATAATCACAAACTTATTAGTCCCAGAGGACTAAGGATGAAACATCCTAACCCATCTCCTAATAATGAGAAAAGTGAAGGATTCAGAAGACAGAATGAAACAAATATTTTATGGCCAATGTGGAAATTTGATTTAACTGACTATGTGTGTTTGTAACGAGTTTTGTTTTTCTTGTGTTCTCAATGCGGGGTGGAAGGGAGAAAAGGTGGATCTTTGTTGATTAAAACGAATAAAATACCTTTTTTAAAAGGTAAGCATATTAGAGAACCTCCCCCACTTTGCTTTAAGATGAAGTTCTTACCTACTGAAATCATATTGCTGTAAGTCTCTTGCATGACATCCTTATAGAGGTCCTTCTGAATAGGGTGCAATAACTGCCATTCTTCCTGAGAGAAATACATGGCCACATCCTCAAATGTCACAGGACTCTGAAATGAGATCAAGCCCCTGCTCACAATCTGCCACCAATCTGACCATTTAGTCTCTGGATAATGAGTTAGAACCAAGACACAATTAAATGTGTAAAAGGAATTCTGGATGATGATGATGCTGGTTCCTCATATGTAACCTCTGGATAAATGGTGGGGAGAGGGCAGGAAGGAAGAGGTATGGAGGAGGCAGCCCAAGGAATAAATAAGCAACCCATAAGTTTCCCAGCTCCTCTGCACAACAAGCCTAATAGCCCAGAAGACAGCACATGAAATTTCCTAGTGGAACTATTGAACAGAAAGGTTCATGGGAAGCAAAGAAGGAAGTTGACAAGGTCATATCCAGTTAGGAAAAATGTGATTTCAGAAGGGACCTTCAGAACTGCAGCTCACCTGAGACTCAGGTGTGAAGACTACAGATGCCACCTCCCAATCTCTGGTAGGTCTGTCTTCGGGAAGGACAGGAACCTGGTGAGCAGGCAGAGCTGAAGAGGGAGAAAAAAGCCAGGGAGTAAAGTGTTTCTATCTTTTGTGTTACGGGACACCTTAGGGTTATTTCTGAAATATAAGAGATCTCTTGATTACTTCAGTAGGGCATGGAAAGAGGTGGCCTTCACACTGCAAATGAGAACAAATATTCCATCAGTCCAAAAGGAAAATGAATAACAAAGTGGAAAGTATTTTTAAGTGGAGCCAATATTCCTTACCCCTCTTCTGGCATACAATGTCATTTCCCCTCAATAAGTGGCTGTTTTCAAGACTACTACAATTAAAAGGGTTTTAAATTGAAATTCACAGATTGATAGAATATTCCAGTTAGCTAGATACTCCAGTATTTAGTATGAAATTTAGGAGTTTGGCTTTTGCATTTTTTCTGGCAGTTCTGATATACATTGCCTTATGACTGAGAACCTTTGTCCTGCTCCCCTAGAGAACTAAGACTTACCTATCAGGACCATACAGTCTCCTTCTTCCCTGCCCAAGTTCCTCCCCTTTTTTCTCTTTTCTGAAAGCCGAATCTGCAACATTGATCATTTCTATGTCCTACCCTGCCCTCACGCACTTAGCTTCTCCACCCTCACCCCCAACAAGCAACTTTCCAATCTGAATATCTGTGAGACCTGCACATCCTTCACTGCAGAGTCCCTCTTCCCTGATGATGAACTGTAGTCTCCTCGAGGGTAAGGTTTGTGTTTTCTGCTTTTGTATCCACTCCAGTGTCTAGTACAGCTCTGGGCACCAAGGAAGTGTTCAATAAATGCTTGTTGACTGAATCTCACCACCCCTAAGAGGAGGAAATTATTGATGAAGCTCCTCACCCCTCTCCTGCACAGGCTGGAGCTCTTTTTCTGGGTCACAGCTCAGTGGTTCCTGTGGTCTTGGGTGGGTACTCCACAATTCCTCTTCTTGGAACACCCCAAAACGCTGGGGCTCGGCTGGCTCCAGATGGAAGCTTAGTGCTTCCGATGCTCCTCCCAAGGGGGCTGCCTTCTCCGAGAGTACTTCCTGTCCCTGCTCATGGACTGTAACCTGGAAATTAATCCCCATCCTCTATTACCACAGGGCTCGGGCTAGAAAGCAACACTTATTTTGGGGAGAGAGTAGTAATTAGGGTTCAGTCCTTCAAAAAGAGATTCTGTGAAAAGTTAGGAAGCACATTGCCTCATCATGATGTAGAGGTGATGCTGGGCCCTCAAAAAGATTTCAACAGTGGAGTACAAGTTCTGGCAGGTCCTACCAAATAGAAAAGCTCTGGTATTGGCCTGGTGATATGCATATAATCCATTGTCTCAAGAGAAGCCTAGTTAAGTTTGGAGAAGCTTGTCACCAGAACATTATTAACATTTATCACTAGGTAATAGTTTCTTTTACACAGTAACTCATATAGTTCCTGAGATATACGGAGTTTGTGACATGCTGGTGAAAATTACAGTAGGACCTACATGTGATGAAATCACAGATCTTTTGAAGTGCTAGTCAATTTTCCTACTATTCTTTTTTTCCTCTTGGTTTCCTCATCAAACCAGATCCTTCATGCTGGCTGCTGCTCCCTCCTTACACAATCACCAAGTTTCCATTTTGGGGGCGATGTTGGAAGGGAGGAAGGAACTGGTTCCTTTCCCATGTGGTTCTGTTGAACTATTCGTGGTTCAAAGCACAGCTCTACACCTGAGTACACAAGACCCAAAGATTGTGCCTGATGTTCTCCAGAATGGGGCCCAGAGGGGATGGGGGGTGGAGGTGGGGATTCTGCTGTTTGCCATCATGCTCCTGAGGGCAGTGGCTCATTTTTTTATGCAAACTTCTACAGAAGGAAAACTAACTTTTTCTGTGCCCAGGAAATGAGTTGCCTGGTATGGAGTAGAGTTGAACTTAGTATATATATATTTTTTTTCCCGTCATTGAATTTTTCCTGCTTTCTTATCTTTCCATTTCCCTTTTTTTTTTCTCCTTTTCTTTGATGCTTTTCTGGAGTTGTTTGCTTTTTCCTTTACTTTTTTTCCTTTTTTTTTTTTTTTTGCATTGCTTTCATTCCTTTCTTGGTTATTTGTATTTTCTCTACTGGGCCTAAATTCAAGTCTTGCCTTCTTGATCAACCTAGATTGTCCCATTAGCTTATCCTTAGTCTTCCTAGACCCAATCAACTCCTCCATCTTGTCCAAATTCCCTCAATGTCCCTATTATCCATGTTACCAGTTCATACCACCAATTTTTTTTTATTGTATTCCACCTGGCCATACAAACTCATGTCGACAATCCTTGTTTCTTATCATCTTATGATATTACAAACACAAATTAATTGAATAAAATGAAATATTAACTTTTTGAAACAGAAAATCAGTAACCCTAAGGCATCAGAGGGCCTAACTTGGAAGACCAGGGATGTGACAACCAAGTCACTGGACAGCAACTTTTACAAATATCCCTCTGTTCCACCTCATAGTAACCTTGCCGATCCTATATTGGGCTGATCTTGGTTAAAGATTCCAATAATCCAAAACTTGGAATTTCTGATAGGAAATAAAAAGTGATTAAAAAGACACTGCAAAAAATAAAACACTTGAAATTAGGACCAACATAAAGTTAAGGCCATGGTCTGGCCCAGAAAGAAGATAGAAGATGTTCCCTTTTCTTTGCTAAGGGAGAAAGAAACTTCTGAGATTTCATTAGCATGGACAGATGTCCTGAGCACTGACTCTCACTAATGAGAAAGTATTTTGCCATAAAAGTATGAATTTGGAAAGTTCTGGAAGAACAAGAGCAATATTTTCTATCTTACCCTCCCTGTGTCCACTTTTCTCATACCTCATTGTCCAATTCGGGAATCTGCTTTCTGTCTCCTTTGCTCTGTCTTATAAGTGTACTCTGCAAATCTTCTACCAGTGTCACTGCCTCCTTGATGCTCCTTGGGGAATGCTTTTGAACCCTGGTCTTTGTCTCCTCAGGCAGAATATTCATGAACTGCTCCAGCAGCAACAGCTCTAAGATTTGCTCCTTTGTGTGGATCTCTGGCTGCAACCACTGATGGCAAAGCTCCCTAAGTTGGCTAAGGGTCTCCTGGGGACCAGCTGACTCCTGGTACCGGAAGCTCCTAAAGCGCTGTCGGCAGCTCTCGGGAGCAGGTTTGTCATTCTGTAGGACACTTTCCTGATTCTGGATTGAATTCTCTTTTAGTTTTTTTCCTAGAGGCCCTTCTTTCTCCCATAAAGCTTGGATCTGAGGATTCAGATCTGCAGCCACCATTAGCTCTATGGCCATCATCCTGTTCAAAAAGTTTTACTCTTGCTTTCAGTGGCCCTGCTGGTGCTCACACTTCCAGGGCTAGGTGTCTCTTTTCTGGCATAAAACTAGGATAATCTTCTTCCTGGGGGCAGATTGAAAAATATGAGCGTTAGTAAGGAAGACTCAGAAGCATTATTCATTTGGTACCACCTAGGAGCCCTAAACAGTCTCCATTCTGACACTCTATAAGGCTGGCGATAATTTAGTTTGTACCTTGTTTTTTGTTTGTTTGTTTTTTCCTGCCTGACTTCCAAACAGCCCCCTTCTAGTTACATTTCTATTCACTTAAACTTCCAACATCTAGAAAGTCAGAAGATCATTTAACTTCCGGTGTTCACTAGCATATTGCATTAAAAAGAGCTTTGGGATTAGCCAAAGATTTCATTTATTTGTTTGCCTACTAACAATGACCCCACAAAGATGGTAGAAAAATCAAACCTTGATGCTTATAAATATTGTTTTCACAAAACATTATTCATAAATAATAATCCCCAGAGGAGAACCTTGATCCTCTCACCTTGAGAGATCTTCTCACTGTTGTAAAGATGAGATCCAGCTTATTCCTCGTTATCTGGAGAGGTCATCAGCTACAGCAATGAACTGTGGATTTAAAATCAGAAAACTTGGGTTTGAGTCCCAGGTTCACGACTTACTAGCTGTAAGACTACAATCTTTCTGGGCCTCTGGTCCTTTATCTGTAAAATTGGGAATAATGATACTTACACTTAGCATTTCATAGAATTGTTGTGAAGAAAGTTTCATAAACTGTAAAGTATCATATAAATATAGATTATTTTACTATTAATATTTTCATTATATTGAGGATATCTCATGTGAAAAAATAAAGCCAAGAATAGAATATGAAGAACTGGGAAAGAAAACAGAAGCCTCCAAAGCAGACTTATTCCTCTGTAACCCTGACCCTTTACTCTTCCTTGAGTCATTCTGGCTTGGTCTAGTGCCTGGAAAGAACCCCACAGCCTGTCCCAGATGTGGCCCAGCTCCACTAAGCTCTCAGAGAGCTATCTATGACAACAAAACTTCTGTCAAATTGGCGGCAAGTACACACCTTTAGTCACAGCTCAGCCTGCATACAAGGAGATACCACCTTTCAGGGTCTATGGCCTACTTGTCACCAAAAGTTTATCTAACAACCTAGGCCACATCATATGTCCCTAGTTCCCAGAACCGGTAGAAGATAACCTATGGCCAGAAGAATCTGCTGCCACCCCAAGAGCTAATGACACTGCTGTGTCTATCTGTGTTGGCTGCAGCCACCTCTAAACTTCCTCCCGCCCCGGCTGTCAGGAATGGGAATGAAAATGTGGGCCTCCATGTCATCCTGTGTGGCACAGGAAACACTTTTATCACTTACTGCAGGATGCTTTACTTCCCTACATGGCAGGTTTATTCAATTCATTCATTTATTTATTAAAGATCAATTACACACTTGGTAGGTACAGTGCTAGAGGAATATGAGGGATCAAATAAGGTGTGTGTGGGTGGGTATGTATGTAATATACACACGTGTATAGATACATAATGCGGCCAAGTCCCTAAGCCTGTTTCATCATCCGTAAAATAGGGACACTTTTCGAACCTCAAAACGCTAGGGAAAAGTGGGCTGCTATTATTCCCAGTGAGCTATTCCCGTCCCCCGTGGGGCTGCAGGCGGATAAATCCCTTCTCTGGGCAGACAGGACCGGGTGATTTCTTAGGTCCCTTCCAGTTCTCAGTCCCATGACTCCTTAAACAAGGCAGTGTGTTAACCAGGCCCGGGCCCTGCGGAGAATCCGCGGCGCAGCAGCCTAGATCCCCTCCCTCCATTCCCAGCCCCCGGGACCCCGCGCGACGTCACCGTAGGTGATGTCACGTCAGTTTGCGTCACGTCCCTTCGGGGGAGGGTCGTATGAAAGCAGGGCCGAAGGCAACCAGAGGCGAAAGAGAAACTCCGCGGCAACCCCGGTCCCACCTGGACACCCCAAGCCCAGCCCGGCGCCGGGGCTGTAAGGAGGGGCTGCTGACTCCCCCAATTCATTACTCCCGCCCACCCCGTCCGGCGCCACTCTCACGGGTCTTCCTGCCGCGGTCTCTTACCCCTTCCTAGGGCAGCGTCCTGTTGACTAGGCCTTGACCGGTCCCGGAAGTGACGCTCGGCCGACGCCTGCCCGCTTAACCCTGCCGGTTCCCTAATACCCTGCAGTACCTGTGTGTTAAGATTCAGAGGTCGGAGGGTGGGGGAAGGTGTAAATGCCACTGATTACCGGGTCCCGCCCGGATCCTAGAGGGGTCCCGGAAGCGTCTCGTCATGTGGTGCTGTGTGTAGAAGACTGCTTCCGGGTTCTACGGGTTTCTCCGTCCCATTTTTACGGCGCTCTGCAGTCGGCTCTCTCGATTCCTCTCCTTTGGGAGGGAGGTTGAGGGGGAATGGAAGCAGGTCGTAAGGATTTCTGCGGCGGGCGCGGAGCCTCTCCCGGTAAGGGGCCGTGTCTCGTCCTCAAGGCCTACCCCGTAATCCTCTCGTTCCCCGCCACGGCCTTGTTCTCCTTGAGACCCAGGCTTGTCGGCGTTTAGTGAGACTCCGACGCCCCAGGGTCAGCCGGGCCCGCCCTTGGTTTAACCAGAGAAACCTCTCGTTTCTATGATGCCACACGGCGAAAAGCCGCAGCTTCTCGGGTCGCTCGATCTCCACGTAAATTCCCTGACTTAGGTGGTGCAAAGAGTATTTCTCATACGGAGGAGAGCGCGGGTCCCGGGAACACCCAAACCCCAGAGCGAGTGAAGGGTAGAGCCGTGACTCCCGGGGATTGCTTCTCCCGCTCCACCTCCCTGCTTCTCGGCAGGCACCTGTTTGGGAAAAGGAATTGACGTAAGGCTACCGAGAAACGCTGTAGAGGAAATTGGTGCTCTGGGAGTTTGCTCGGGGCTTGAGAACACAGTCGAGCGATGACTTAAGCGCGTAGGTGAAGCCTGCCCTGGAAGACTGGAGGTGGTTTGGGACTAAGAGGCCTTCAAAGGGAGCTCTTTACTGCACCCCTCTGAACTAAGAGTCAACCCTGCAACGCTCTGATTTCATTAGCACAAGGAAGATTAAACAATGTATAATGGTAGTAAATGTTGAATTAAGGATGTTGGGGGAGGCCCTTTAAATAGTGATTGGGGGTATCGCTTGGCAAACAAGGTTTAGAGAAGGGAGATGGAGATAAGGGGGGAAAGACTTCCGAAGAGAGATAAATATGCTATCACTTTCTCAGAGTTCGTTGTTGCCTACTTGTGCTCTCTCTTCCAAAATTTCCCATTGAAGTTTCTTCTATTAGGAATTTGTTTGGGGGGAACCCTAGTTCATGCCATGGCTTTGGGTCTCAGTTCTCTATAGAGAGAATTGGCTTGTGTCATAGATCCTTTTGGCAATCTGCTGAAGCCCATGGGCCCCTTCTCAGAATATTGCTTTTAAATACATAAAATACATGGGATTACAAGGGAAACCAATTATATTGAAACACAATTATCAAAATAGTAAATATGTTCGAAGACCTCAGGTTAAGCACTCCTGTAGGAGAATATCTCTTTAAGATCCCTTCCAGCTCTAACATCCTATGAATTTTTGAATTGCTGTGATGGGATCAAGATGTGCATTCAGTGTGTAGTTACACTGATTTGCTTTTACCTTTCTGTCTTATGAGGTATAGCATGCATATGGTAGTTTGCTAACTAGAGTGAATGGAGCAGTCTTTGTCTGAGGAGCAGAATTGTTTTTAACCTCTTTCTATTCAATGCTAAATGATGCTTGACTGTCAAACCTATGTAATTGGCTTTGCAAAAACTACTGTATGTTGGTCAGCGAGTCTATTGTCATAGACTGTCGTGTTCCATGTGATCTTCTCCATTAATCAGAATCTAAGGTATTCAGTCTCTTACAGCTAAAGTGAGGGATAAATCATAGATCCTTAGTATAGAGAGTTCCTACATGAAAGACTTGAGAGAAATCTACACAGTTGGAAAATGCATTCAATTCAGTCAGTTACTATCCTTAAGGGAAATGAAATAACTGAAATGTCAATCTTTCAGTCATTCCCTGACAAACTTTTCTTTCTTCCCAGTACATGGAATGGAAGACAGCTAAAATTTCTATACCCTCTTATGTATTTGTGGATCAGGAATGAGAACAAGCAGAAGATTTCTGAGAAATTGAAATCACAGAGAGTGTTACCAGAAAGACCTCAAGAGATTATGCTAAAATGATGGAAAGACAGTGAGAATGAAAGAGTTGTGGAAAAATCCCCTAGTTAAGAGACTGCATGAACTCACTCCCCAAGAGAAGGATTTACAGAAAAGAATAGACCAAAAATTCCAAGTTAAACCCTTAAAAGTGCCTTCCATCTGCTAAAAAATTTTATGATCTTAACTCTCTAACTCACCAGAGTCTACACTGAAGAGAAATTATAAGTATTCCAAATATGAGAAGAATTTTTCTTAGAACTCTGCATTGATTCAACTCAAGGAAATCAAGTCAGAGAAGAAGTATTTTAAACGTTCAAAGTTTGGGAAAACCTTTATAAAGCTTTTAGACTTGGGCATCCCAATACTACCATACTTCTGAAGCATTATAAGCATCCAAAGATCCTCACTGAAAGCTGGACTTACGAGTAATTCATTAGAGACCCCATACCAGGATAAGAAAAAGAGCCAAAGACCATGGTATAATGGAAAGAGCACTGTACTTGGGGTCAAGTGGTTCTCACCATTACTAGTTATGTGACATTAGGCAAGTAAATATCGCTGGGACTCATTTTTCTCATTTGTAAAATGGGAGATGGGACTAGGTGATCTCTAAAGTCTTTCCAACCTCTAAATCCTATGACCTGAGTGTGGAAAAAGCTTCACTCAAAGTAGAAATATCATTATCAACCATGAAATTAGTAATTAACTAATGTAATAAACATAAGAGGTTTGTCAAGACATGTTATTGGATATGGTAAAATTGTATTTATTTTGGTAATGGGCTGCTTTATCAACTTTACTACTCAACAGAATGTCCTCTGTTTCCAGTTCTCAGAACATCAAAATAGTACATATGGCAGGTCCTGGAAGACTGAAGACCTGTCCCAGGTTCCTAGCCTGTTGCCTCATTAGCTGTATTTACTGAATTGTACAATTTTTTTTTTTTTTAGCAGTGAGGTGAAGCCGTAGCATTGGGAAAGAAAGATTTGATCTCAGTCTACCAACTGGTTCCCTCTCTTACCCTCTTTTCAACTACCTTTTAGAGACTCTAGGCATCCTTTGATTTTTCTTTGCTTGTACCTCCTTCCTGTTTTATGCTCTCTGTTGTCTTATACACCTTCTTTCACATAGGGTTATAAGGAGGGTTCCAGGGTACATTTTGGTCTTCTTTCCTTCCTGATTGTCTATACTTGAGAAGGACAAGAAGTGAGAGGGTACCAAAACATTCCTGAAAGTTCATTATTCTAGTGCTGTAATAATAAGGAGGAGGAGGATCCCCAGTAGTGGCAGTTTTGATGTTCGTTGTTAGGTTATTACCTTCCCACCAATCTATACCACCTGTGGTTGCCATTCTATCAGTATTTTACTACCAATATCTGTGCCCTCTGTGTTTTTTCAACTTTTTACTTATTGTCATCCAATATTGCTGTTTTTCTCCCAACTTCTCCTTTTTCTGTATATTGAAGTAACATTCACTATGAATAAGAGAGGAAAATACACAACATTGAATTTAGAGGAAAAAATGAAGGTCTTGAGTAGAATTGAATCTGGGCACTCTCTTAAAAGCGTAATGGATGAATTTGGAATCAGTAAATCAACATTTTATGATATTAAAAAAAATAAGAAATTGATTTTGGACTTTGTGTTAAAGCAAGATATGCCATTAGTCGGAGCAGAGAAAAGAAAAAGAACAACGGGTGCCAAATATGGTGATGTGGATGATGCCGTTTACATGTGGTACCAACAAAAGCGCTCAGCAGGTGTTCCTGTTAGAGGTGTGGAACTTCAGGCTGCTGCTGAGAGATTTGCTCAGTGTTTTGGTCGAACAGACTTCAAAGCCAGCACTGGTTGGCTTTTCAGATTTCGAAATAGGCATGCAATAGGGAACCGAAAAGTGTGTGGGGAACAAATTCTGAGTTCAGTTTCAGAAAATGTTGAACCATTTAGACAAAAGATATCCATGATCATCAAAGAGGAGAGACTGTGTCTGGCTCAGGTATATAATGGGGATGAGACAGATCTTTTTTGGAAATCAATGCCAGAAAATATTCAGGCAAACAAAAAAGATATATGTATGCCAGGGCGGAAAATAAACAAAGAACGATTGTCAGCTCTTTTGTGTGCAAATGCAGATGGGACCCACAAGTTGAAGTCAGTTATTATTGGAAAATCAAAGCAGCCTAGGTCTATTAAGGATGATGTAAATACTTTATCAGTGATATACAAGTCCAGTAAAGAGGTCTGGTTCACCAGAGAATCATTTTCAGAATGGTTCTTTCAGAACTTCATTCCAGAAGTTAGAGATTTTCAGCTTAATGTCCTGAGGTTGGATGAAAAGGATATAAAAGCAGTGTTACTCTTAGACAATTCTGCAGCCCATCCTTCAACTGAGTCTCTAATTAGTAATGATGGGAGAATCAAATGTATCTTCTTCCCCCCAAATACTACATCATTGATTCAGCCAATGAATCAGGGTGTGATCTTGAGCTGCAAACGACTTTATAGATGGAAGCAGCTTGACGAGAGTCTGGTAATCTTTGAAGAGAGTGATGAAGAACAGGAAACAGGAGGAGAAAAAACAGTTGCAGAAATCAAAGCTTATAACATAAAAAGTGCAATTTCTAACTGGGCAAAGAGTTGGGATGAAGTAAAGCAAATAACAATAGCAAATGCATGGGAACATCTACTTTACAAAAAAGAACCAGAATATAATATTCAAGGCTTAGAAGATGGTGATTATAGAGAAATTCTTGAGCGATGTGGTGACCTAGAGCCCAATTTAGGTGATGTCAGGATGTGGTTAACTGGAGATAATGAAGCACGTTGCCCTCCCAAAATGGAAGATGTTACTAGGGAAGTTACTCAGGAAGAAGGGGTTGTTGAAGAGGAGGTAGGACAACGTTCAGCAAAGTTTAAATTATCCAGTATTCGAGAGAATTTGGACTGTCTCCTTGACTTTGTTGATGCCACTCCAGAGTTTCAAAGATTCTATTTCACACTGAAAGAGATGCAACAGGAACTAATCAAAAAGCAATCCCAGAGAAGAACCTGCTCTAAAATTGGTAGCTTTTTAAAACCAAGAGTTTGTAATATTAAAGATTCTTGTAATTTGCCTTCAACTTCTGGGTCCGGTAATTAAGTCTTCTATGGCGAAAGACTTGTGTTTGATACAGCAGGCTTGGTGTGAATTGTAATTTTTTTCATTAACTTACCTCACATTACTTATGAGTGCCCATTTATATCTTTAGTTTATATTGTGTATAGTACTTGAAAGTAATAAATTTGCATTTCTTTAGAAACATTCTCCAATTTGGACATTTACTGCTGCAGACAGTGGAGGTTTTGTAGTGCTAGAAAAAAATGCATTGAGTAAGCATAATGTGGGAAAATCTTTAATCCAAATCTCAACATCATTTCCTATCAGGATAATACACAAAGACAGAATTTTTAGCAAGTAAATGTGATATAAAGATGTGCTGGTGAACATTTTTTCATTTGAGACTTTTTAAAATATATGTTACATGTATTACTGTGCTGGGCACTGAGAAAGATAGAAAGTTTATACAAGACAGTGTTCCTGCTCTTATGGAGCAGTCAGGTAAGGGAATAAGACATACAAATATCTAATATATAATAATAAATATATGAGACTTGCAAACAAATGAGATTCAAAAGGGGAAAGGTCATTATTGGGAGGAAAGGCTTCATGGAAGAGATGTTATTTTAAGTTAGACTTTGAAGAATAGGTAGTAATTCAGCAGGTGGAAGGGGCATATAGATGGCAGAGGCAGTTCCCTCAGACATTGGAAACATCATGAGGAAATAAAGGCACAGAGATGAGAAAGCATAGACCATGTGTGAAGATGTAGCCATATTATAATATAGAGCTTCTGGAAGAGAAAAATGTGAGCTAAAGCTGGAAGGATAAGATGGTGCCAATTTGTGGAGAGGCCTGAATCTGAATACCAGGCTTGAAGAGTTTGGTTCACTCAGTAGACAGTAAAATAACAGTGAAGAGTTTTGAGCAGAGGAGTGTTATGACCAGATCTTTGTATAATGAAGATGCATCTAGCATCAGTGTCAAGTCAACAAACATTAAGCGCTTACTTTATGCCAGACACTGTTAAATGCTGGGGATACAAAGAAAGGCAAAAAACAAGCCATGATCTCAAGGAGCTTACAGTCTAATGGGGGAGACATTAGACAACTATGTTCAAAAAAGATATATAGAAAATAAATTGGAGATAATCTAGAAGGCATGAACATCAAGGGTGAGGCTTGTGCAGAGGTGGGATTTTAGCTGAGCTGCACATACCATGTGTAATTTGCTGTTGCTGCTCTTATTAGGGGAGTAAGGGAGAGAAATTCCCTTCTCCTATTATTTACTTCAGGGTACAAGGGAAATATAAAAAAGTAAGTCCTCAAGAGCTGACAGCGTCCCAGAGTACATCTAGCATGCCTTTTTAAGGAGGGCAGCTACTCCTTAACGAAATCCCTCGTAACTCTTGTGCCTTTCCTCTATTAATTATTTCCTATTATCTGTATAGCTTATTTGTATATATTTGTTTACATGTTGTTTTCCTCCATTAGATTGTAAGCTCCATGAGGGTAGGGATTGCCTTTTTGTATCTTTAGTGCTTAGCACTATGCCTGGCACTCAGGTGATTAATAAATATTGATTGAAATTTCCTATGTCCAGTCATCTTGATTGGGACTCCTCACCCACCACTCTAACATTTTTCCTTCTAGTAACTACTTATTTGATTTAATAAGTCAAGCAGCAGTGCTTTGGAATACATTGGCCCATATCCCCAATTCTGGACAACTTTGGTAATTTGAAGAAGATCCCGAAATCTATTTGATACTGGTTTTAATTGCCTCTCCCACTGCCATTCACTGAGTCTCAACAATGCACTTGCTGCACAGTCCTTAGACACTCCTACTAGATTTAAGGAAATGGCAAACCTCTCTGGTATTTTTGCCAAGAAAATCCCAAATGAGGTCACAGAGTCAGACACAATTGAAATGACTTAACAACATCAGAATTTAATAGTGTTTTTTTTTGTTTTGGTGGGGGGGTTTTTTGTGAGGGCTTCGATTTCACATACTTGGGTGTACCTGGAACTTTGGTCACTTACAAACATATAGTTATAAATATTCAGCAAAGCTGTATAAAATTCCAATGGCCTTTGACATTTCAAAAAGGTCTACCCCAACTTAAAGGCAATTAGAAAACAATTTATTTTATTAATTTATTTATTTTTAGTTTTCAACATCCACGAGATTTTGAGTTCCAGACTCTCTCCCCATTTCATCCCTTCCTCCACCCCAAGATGGCATGCATTCTGAGTACCCCTTCTCCTAATCTGCCCTCTCTTCTATCTCTCCCCCCCTTATCCCCTTCTTCAATTTTCCTGTAGGGCAGGATAGATTTCTGTACCCCATTTCCTATATATCTTCCCAGTTGCATGTAAAAACAATTTTTTTTTAACTTTTGGAAAACAATTTTTTTTTTGGAGTCTGAAGGTTAGAGGACAAAAAATATGTTGTTTTTTTTGTTTTTGTTTTTTTGGGGGGGCTGTGGTTTTTTTTTTGTTTCTTTTTTTGGTTAGGCAACGGGGTTAAGTGACTTGCCCAGGGTCACACAGCTAGTAAGTGTTATGTGTCTGAGGCCACGTTTGAACTCAGGTCCTCCTGAATCCAGGGCAGGTGCTCTATCCACTGTGCCACCTAGCTGCCCCGAGGATAGAAAATATGGAAACAGGAATACCCAATGTAAGGCATTCATAGTTCAAGTGAGTCTTGATGAAGGTCTATACGAGGACAATAGCCATGGGATTAGAGAGGAGGAGACTGGTGGGATAAATATTGCGGTACAAGCAACAGAACTTGTTGTAACTGATTGGAATTGAGGAAAAGAGAAGAGTAAAAAATAATAACATTAAAAGTTTAAACACAAAAGATTGTCCTTGGTTGTAATAGTGAAGTCTGGAGAAGAAGCAGGCTTGAGTAAAAACATAAGGTTTTGTGAGGTAGTGGTTGTTTTGTTCCTTTGGTCTAAGTCTGTATGTGTGTGTAATATGTATATATATTTATATATTCTATATATACACACATATAACTGGTAGTGCTACTCAATCAAGTATTATGCATTCACTATGTATCAGACAGTATGTTAAACACTGGGGATACAAAGAACTATGCCTACAGGGAGCTTGCACTCTACTTAGGGAGACAATAGTTACATAAATAATAGAATCTGAGGAAAAAATTGAAAAGGGAAATAATCTTAGAAGAGAATGTGGTAAACCTTACCTAAGGAATGGATTCCCTGAAAACTAGAATTAACCAAAACAGAAATCAATGATTCTGAGACAACAGGAACAAAAAAGCAAAAGAAGAAAATAAGATCTGATATAAAAACCTAAAACATAATTAGGGAAAGATCATTGAAGAATCATCAGACTCCCTAAAAACCATGATTGGGAAACAAAAACAAAAACAAAAACTTGGACACTATATTTAAAGAAATTACAAATGAAAACTGCCCATATCTATTAGGACTAGAGGGTAAAATGAAGATAAAGAATTTACTGATCTTGTATCAAATTTCTCTGATAAGGGTTTGGTTTCCAAGAGATGTGTGTATATATGTGTGTTTGTGTGTGTGTGTATATATAACTAATAGCCATTCCCCAATAAATAAATAGTCAAAGGATATAAATAAACACTTCTCAAAAGGACTGCAAAATATTTATAACCACATGAAAATTCTCCAAACCACTAATAATAGAAATTATAATTAAAACAACTCAGATTTTACCTCACACCCTGAAAATTGGCAAAAACGGCAAAAGATGGCAGCAGTCAATGTTGGAGGACTTGTGGGGAAACAGTCACATTAATACATTGTTGCTGGAACTATGAAATGGTACAACCATTTGGAAAGCAATTTGGAATTTGCAAATAAAGTGACTAAAATTTCCATATCCTTTGAACCAGAGACTCTGTTACTGGGCATATACCCCAAGCAAGCCATTGATAAGGAAAAAGTCCCTATATACTCCAAAATATTTATGGCAGCATTTTTTGTGATAGCTAAGAATTGTAAGTAAGTAGATGCTCATCATTTGGGGAATGGCTAAACCAATTGTGGTACACAAATGTAATAGAATACTACTGTTCTATAAGAAATGGTGAGTACGATGAATACAGAGAATCATGGAAAGATCTCTGAACTGATGCAAAGTGAAGTAGAGCCAAGAAAACAGTAACACCAAAAATGTAAATAGAACTACACATCAAAAAATATGAAAAGCTAATGTAACAAAATTATAAAGCTCAAACGGGACTCAAATGAAGAGATAAGAGAAAACATCCCCAACCTACCCCTTTGTGGAGATGGGAAGTCCACAGATGTTTTTATACATTACACATTTTTGAACTTTTCCAGTGTATCAATTGGTTGTACTGACTTTTTTTTTCCTCTCTAAAAATACCATTTGTCATATGTGATGGCTCTCAGGAAGGGGAAAGGAAGGGACATGTGGTGATGTAAGAAACAGAAAATATCAATTAAAAAAACTTATTTAAAAATACAAACTAACTCCTGAAAGAAACCCTCAAAAGAAAAGTCCTAGGAATGTCTTAGCCAAAAATTTGCAGCTTCCATGTCAAAGAAAAAATACTTCAGATATCCAGAAAGTTCCAATACAGCATAACCACAGTCAGGATCACACCCAAAATGGCACTTTCCACTATAAATGAGAGGAGGTTTTGGAATATAATATCCCCAGAAGCAAAACATACGGGCTTATAACTAAGAATAATCTATCTTGCAAAGCTAAGTGTAATCCTATAGGAGAAAAATTAGGATCTCTAATGGAATAGAAATATTTTCAAGCATTCTTGAGATGGGGAAAAACATAGCTGAATAGGAACTTGAAAATGCAAACACGAGAAAATCAAGAGAAATCTAGACAGGAATGTATTTGAATAATTGGAAGGGGCTATATGATGCAATACTAACATTTTGAAAGAGAGAAGAAACAGTTGTCTCTTTAGAAACTTAATATCTCGGATGGCATTAAGGGAATTAAATAAGAAAAAAAGGAGCTGACTGGATTGATTTTGTTCTGAAGTTTTTAAGAGGGGGAAAAAGAAGAGAGAGTAAAAGGAATAGATTAATGCAGAAAGGAGAAGGAAGAGGTGAAATTTACAGTTTCTCATAGCTGGGGTACATGAAAATATACAAATATGGAGGAAAGGGTTGGGGCATTGGACATCACATGTACTTCACTTTCATCTGACATGGACAAAGAAGAGTTGAAAACTAACACACATCCAAAGAGTTTTGTGTAGAAATAAACTCAACAGAGAAACACATGGGGAAAAGGACAGAGATTGTTAAGAGGAAGAATAATACTGGGGAGGGAATAGTCATAAGCAAAACAAACTCCTGATCCTGAAGAGGAGATTGAAAAG